GGGGGAAACCGCCCAAACAAGCTGATTTCAGGACGGAAACTGCGGAACGGATCTCCAAAAGAAAACCACGATTTAATATCGGAGATCAAGAGGGGTTCCTAGACAGGACAAAACAAAATCAGGCGACAGCAGTGAGGGGGGGACAAAAACAAAGGGGCTAGGAAAAAAAGACAAGGATGGAACCAGCAAGGGGCAGCAGAGCAAAAAGAACAGCAAGGGGAAGCACCACACAACTATTCTCAGAACCTACAACCCATCACCCTCCCAACACACATTACAATCCTACCCACGCCTCCACCCAAAAACCCGAGTATAGAATCCCACAGTGCACCCGGTCTCCCACCCTCACAGGCCCCCAAACCACAGGTTGGAAAAAAAATGAAGGTTGGTACAAAACGTGATGGAATAACAAATAAATGGGGAGTGGCGAAAGGTCAAAGAACTCACCGGACATTAGTCCACAGAAAACCAGCTTCAGGTTTTTAAAACAATGCCATCTTCAAGGGGATACCAAATCCGAGGAAAGACAGAGGAAACGGGGGGGGTGGGGGGAGGGGCGTTGCTGATCAAAATCGCGGGAAATTTTTGAGAGGGAGAGGGGAACAGCGGAGAAGAAAGTGATTACATACGGGAACGCTCACCTGGGGTCCCAAGGTGTAATAGCAGTGATGCAAACCCACCACGAAACAGGAGGCCAAGGCAAGAGCGAGGGAAAGCAATAGAGCGATGGTTGAAAAATGGCTAGAGTGGCCCGAAAGCCATGCATGCAGGGGGAAAGCTCCTGACATGGGGGACTTTTTAACCCCAAGGGATGATTGGGAGAACTTGGACCCACAGGGGGGAAGATAAAGGGGGTAAGGATGGAGGTGGTACTGGAAAACTTCATGTGCCAAAAACTAAGGGACACTACAAGAGAGGAGGAGAGATGAAAACCCAAGGTGGACTTGTATTCACCCTTTATGTGCAATATCGAGGACATCCAAATTTTAAAGACCCCCGGGGGGCCCGTGACCATGGGTTTTAAGCTTCGAATTTCACATAGAGCTACAAGTGGGGGGAGAAGCAGGAAGGCCAGGACGAATGAAACCCCAAAATACAAGAAAGGGACTACACAGGAATGAGGAACTACCTGAACGGGGTTCGTGGGGCAGAGAACTGGGAGGGAGGTTAATGAGTGATGGGAAATGTCAACAAAAATGCAAGGAGGTGGGAGGGTTTTTTACCAAGGGTAACAGGAAAAATGAAAAAAACCCGGGGAGCCCCTGGGTTTTCCCAAAAGGGCAGGGGGGAAAAACCAAGTGTGCTGGGGAAAGGAAGAAATATAAAGGCAAAGGACCAGGAGAATAAGGGGAACAGTCGTAGAGCCAGAACGAATATGCACAGATAAAAAGGGAGGCCCAAAAGAAATGAAAAAAGACATAGCACGAAAACCCAAAAAACGACCCGAAAAATGTTGTACGCCCATCAGGGGGAAAAAAACAGTCAAGACCAGGTAATCAGGCTAAGGAAAAGGGAAGGGGAGAGACAACAAGAAATACCGGGTAGGGGAAGAACTCAAAAGAGATTCAAAGAAGTGTTACGAGGGAAACGAAGGGACTCCAGAAAGAGGGGAGGGGGGGGAACCACAAGTGCTGGGGCCAGGCACACAACCGAGGGAAAAAGTGAAAAAGGCTTCTGAGTACTAAATACCTCAAAGGCAATGGGCCAGATAACATCTCCCCATGGGTATTTAGGGGGGAGCAAGGCGCTATGTGTACCCTAACAACAATTTCAATAATCATCGAAAAGGGGGGATTGCCGAGGGGATGGAAAACGCAAATGTTCCCCTATCTTTAAAAAAGGGGCGACATGAAAACATTAAACTCGCCGGTCACTGAATGTTAGTATGCAAAATCATGGGGGAAGATTATCAGGAGAAGAGTGGTGGAACATGAAAGGAAGATTAACAAACACACAACTGGTTTCAGGGACGGGAAATCCGTGTCACAAACCTACTGGAGTTCTATGACAGGTGACAGCGTAAAAAGAGATAGAGGGGTGGGTATTGCATTTTTTTGGACGCAAGAAGGGTTTTACACGTTCCACACAAGGAGGGTGAAAAAACTGGGGGGCCAAAGGGGGATAACAGGGAAAGGGGCACTCCCATGGTCGGGATATTGTCGGGAAGACGCGCGAGTCAGGGTCGTGGCGGGTGTCAGAGTGGGCCCTGGCCCAGGGGGGTCCCGAGGGGTATCCTAGGACCAGTGCTGTTTCTGGTATTTGTGAACGACAGAGGGGAAGGAATGACTTGAGGTGTCCCTTTTTTGCAGATGATTGAATTTGATGAAAAAATTTCACTCGTCAAAGACCGGGCGAATACAAAGGGATCGGACAGGCTGCGACCTGGTCCAGAAATTGGTCCTGAGTTAATCCCACCAAGTAAAAAAGTCATGAAGTTTTGGGGAAGGGCAAAGAAGCCGCAACGGAGTACATCTGGGGGTCAAGACTACAAACCTCACTCAAGGAAAAAGATTTGGGTGAGTATAACACAGGCCATCTCCTGAAGGCACATCAACCAAAAAAACTCTGCACCCAAGGGCGCTAGCAAACCCTTTCAGACAGCATTCCACATCTTATAAGGAATCATTCGGGACCCTGTACACCGTGTAACGTTAGGCCCATATTGGAGTATGCGGCACAGTTTGAACCCCACACCTAGCCAAGCACGTGAAGAAACTGGGAAAAAGTGCAAAGGTTGCAAAAGCCTATTTCCAGGCTAAAAGTAGTCTACGAGGAGAGGTTAAGGAAATCAACCTGACGACACTGGAGTACAGGAAAAGGGGGACGTATAACGACATACAAAATACTGAGAGGAAATTGACAAGGTGACAAAGCCCACGATGTTCCAGAGATGGACACAGAACAAGGGGACACAGTTGGAACTGAAGACACAGATAATCACAAGGATGTTAGGAATATTTTTACCCACAGAGTATCAGTAATGAATAGTTGGGAAGCGATGTAGTGGAGCAGGACCCATACATAGCTTTAAGCAGAGTATATAAAAGCTCACGCTCAGGGAGATGACCTATAACGATCAGTGAAGAGCGGGGCCGGGAGCTCGGCCCTCGACCCCCGCAACCTCAACAGGTGAGAAACAACTAGTAAAGTAAAAACCACACAAAACCACACAACACACACACACACAACACACACATACACACACACACATACACACACACACACACACACACACACACACACACACACACACACAAACACACACACACACAAACACACACACACACACACACACACACAAACACACACACACACATACACACACACACATACACACACACACACACACACACACACACACACACACACACAAAACACACACACCACACACTACACACACACAACACACACACACAACAACACACACACACACACACAACACACACACACACACACACACACACACACACACACACACACACACACCTGCCACATCAAAAGAATTTATTTATTTCCGAGACGTAACATAGTCATTAATAAAGTTAAAAACGATCCTGTGATAAAGGAACTAAAATAGTGATTATGAACGACATTGATTATATCAAGAAATATTAGTCTTATTTAGTGAAATTATACTAAGCAATAATTGGTTATAATTATAATTCATATTTTTTGAAGGGGAGGAAGGGTAACCAGTGGAAGGCCTCGGTCAGATGACCAAAAGCTCCAGTTGTGGGTTAGGAAACACTTGTCCTATTTCCTAACAGTGAAAAGATACTCTTGAAAAAGTGTCTGAAATACCCATCAACAACTTTATTATGCACTTTAATAAAAAAGTTCGGAAAAGTGATCAAAATAAAGAAGATAATTAAATATTATTCATTCTCAACATTATTAACTAGCAGTCTTCCCTATTTCAACATTTCATCAAAGATTTATAAAAATAAAATACATTGTCGCCCCATAACCTCCAAGTGGGACCGAAACGTCGTTGTTAGCTCCTCTCTCCTATGTACGGTTTGTGTATTATACCTCCAGCACATGATGATCTTCCTAAAAAAATGGTCAAAATGGTTTAGTAGTTTATATAACCTTACTGTTTATTCCATTCTCGAGGACACGCATCAAAGTCCCAGAAAAACTTGGTTGATAATCACGAATCTGAACCTACATACAAGAAACTCTTCAACTTAGACGTTGTTTGTCTCCTCAGCAGAGTCACTGTGCTTGATGTAAAGGTAACGGAGTTTAGGTAAGACCCTTTTGGGGTGAACGGGGAAGTGAGGTACCGGAAGAATAGCTCAGTGAGAGGAAGGTTTGAGTGGTAGAGATAGTACCGGGGCTTAACTCAGTACCTAGACGAACATGGTACTGGTGGCTGGTGCAGCGAAGAGGACTGACGAGGCATGCTGGACTGTACAAGGTACCTGTGAGAAATCCACTGGTGATGTATAGGGATATGGGGTGAGGTTAACAATGGTACATCTGTTAAGGTCCACACCTGTTAAAACAGGCTGGAGGTTGATGTCTGGGAAGTTCGTACAGCAGAATACTAATCATTTTCTTGTAAATTCCCATCTCCACAAATAAGGTACTTCTACTCACTAAGCTCTGTGTTATCACCAACGTTTCTTTCTTCAAAGATGAGTTTTACAATAAAAAATATGATGGTAACATTGGCGACCCTCTCTTTCCTCTCTCCGAATGATAAATTCTATCTGTCTATTGACTTGAGACTTGAACCGTGGTATTGACAAGTAACAGGTGCACCACTGTACTACGAGGCATTAATAAGATATCTCAGAGAACACTTCTCTGGTATGTGACCCAACTCTTTCTTCCCACAGCTACAGGAACTTCATATCACATCTACTGTTATCTCTTCAAGGCTTCGTAGCACAATAAATAGCACAGCACTGGATCTGTTACCCCAGCCTCTCACCACCCACCCCGCCCTCTCACCACCCACCCCGCCCTCTCACCACCCACTCCGCCCACAGATACGCCTATGCTCCGTCCTGAGAGGCTTGAGATACAGTTCAGTGCTCCAGGAGCCGTGTACTTCCCTCAGCAGACTGTCACAGGCAAGGTCGTCCTTCAAGTAGCTGAACCTCTCAGGCTCAAGGGTGAGTAGTTGAACCTCTCATCTTCAAGAATAACTGAACCTCCCACGTTCAAGTATAACTGAACCTCGTAAGTTTATTAGTTACTCTCGCATATAGTAATCAAAACATAAATATTGTCACCAGTTTATTTTATAAATAATAAATGACAATTATTAGCAGATTAATAACTCAATTTAGGGAGGATTAATACTCGTCTAATTAATAATAATAGTTCGACCGTCTAGGCAGCCACGGACGAGGCTTGTGTCCTTGTTTCTCTTCCATAAACATCCCAAACTATCTCAGAAACGTCACAAACTATCCACAATAATCACAAACTATCTCAGAAACGTCACAAACTATCCACAATAATCACAAACTATCTCAGAAACGTCACAAACTATTCACAATAATCACAAACTATCTCAGAAACGTCACAAACTATTGACAATAATCACAGACTACCCACAAACATCACAAACTATCCACAAACATCACAACCTATTCATAATCATTACAAACTATCAACAAACATCACAAAATATCTATAAATAACAGAAACTCTCCACAATCATCACAAACTATCCAGAAACATCACTTGTTATCCACAAACTTCACAAACTATCCACAAACATCACAAACTATCTCAGAAACGTCACAAACTATCCACAATAATCACAAACTACCCAGAAACATCACTTATTATCCACAAACATCACAAACTATCTAGAAACATCACTATACACTTACAATATACTTACCAGGGTAGATATTAAATCTAAAACTCATCTACGATTTTTTTTTTAGTTTATTGCTGTAATTTTTGGTTCATGTTTTGTGCTACGCTACAGGGGTGAAGATGAGGTTCCGGGGTGAGTGTTGTATATACTTCACTGACTACCCTAAGAAGCTGGAGAACCTGAACATGATCAAGAAGACCAAGAGAAAAGGGGACCATTGCAACACTCCAGACCAGTTTCCCACCACCATGTGGTCTGCACGACACACCAAGTTAGTCAATGTATAGCCTGTCTTATCTAACATGACTGAATGTGCAAGTATTATTCTGGTATGTGTGATAGTAACATTATGGAACACCCACAGTGTGTGTGTGTGCAACTGAAAATAGGTGTGCTGTTAGTGAGTTGTTCCAGCCACGGCGTAGTGGGTTGTTTGCGAGTTGTTCCAGCCCCAGTTTTGTGGGTTGAGTTGTTGTAGTCACGTTATTGTGGGTTGGTAATTTTTTCCAGCCATGTCCGTGGTTCAATCCCTGGTACGGGTGGAAATATTAGGACGTGTTTCCTTAAGATAACTGCTCTCCATGTTAACTTATCAGTAAAATAGGTACCTGGGTGTTAGTTGACTGGTATGGATCGCATCCTGGGACAAAATTGAACTAATTTGCCAGAAGGGGGCTTTTATACGTAATATGTCATTGATGTCAGCTGAGCCTGTATACCTTGTACATGTACTTGTAGAAATAAAGATATTATTATTATTTTTATTATTATTCTTATTATAGATAATTCTTGGTTAAGTTCACATACTTTATGGCAACGTGTTGCAAACCTAATCTTAGGTAGGTCTAATTCCCACCCACCCTCACTCATCACTCAGACAACCTATGTTTAAAGCTACCCAAAGTTCTGGCTTCAACAACGTCACTTGCAACTTTGTTCCACTCATTCGTAATTCTGTTATAAACTGTACTTCCCTATATCCTTTTTATTTGTAAATTTGCTCAACTTGGGTTCCACTGATTATGAGTTGTTCTAACCACGGTGCGGGTTGTTTGTGAGTTGTTACAGGCATGGTATTGTGGGTTGTTTGTGAGTTGTTCCAGGCATGGTATTGTGGGTTGTTTGTGAGTTGTTCCAGGCATGGTATTGTGGGTTGTTTGTGAGTTGTTCCAGGCATGGTATTGTGGGTTGTTTGTGAGTTGTTCCAGGCATGGTATTGTGGGTTGTTTGTGAGTTGTTCCAGGCATGGTATTGTGGGTTGTTTGTGAGTTGTTCCAGCCACAGACGGGCAGGTCCTCAAGCACAGCACCCTACCAGAGAGAGAGAGAGAGAGAGAGAGAGAGAGAGAGAGAGAGAGAGAGAGAGAGAGAGAGAGAGAGAGAGAGAGAGAGAGAGAGAGAGAGAGAGAGACCCTGGCACATTGCCTACCAACCTCTATGTCACGTGACAATAACAAATACCACCATCATGGCTGGTTCTCATGAGTCAAGGTGGCAGACTATAACTGCCGGTACTTAACCAGAGTAAAGACCCCCATCAGGGCCATCATTATCATCAGTCTCATCATATTTCATCATTCAGAGGGACGATATTAGATATCTATAACAATAAATGGATGGCAGAAAGTAACATCATTCGAAATAATATCTGAATATCAGTGCTGTTATGCATCATTTTTTTTTTTTAGGTTCAGTGGAACAGCGAGACATATTGCTGGCTAATATCACGAAATTAACTTTAATTTTTCACAGTTACGCAAATAAAATAATCATTATTATTACTTATTCCTGGAAGTCAAGAGCAGAAAATCATTACAAGTCACTGAATATATATGCTCAAGAAATAGCTTGTATTCTTACCCTCATGTGCTGCATCTAGTAAAATATTTAAGAGCTTCGCAGAGTGTTAAATATTACAATCTTTGACCATTTGAGAATATGCAAGACAACGTGCTTCTTATTCAGTCTCTGTCCACACCAGCTACTCCAAAAGATCACAAACAATCCCACTGAGATATTACCAGTGTAGAGTTTATATCAACAATGCCTGAGAACATATTCAGAATGGACAATACTTGTCTCCTGGCTGTGAGTGCTCATGATACCGGAGACTTCCTACTGACTGACCCTAATACCATCCCTGAGCACTCACCTCGACCCTCGGACCATTAATATTGGTGTGATCCCCATGCAAACAACAGCAGTGTAAGGTTACTTGGAACTCTACGTTAACCTTTTTTTTTTCTTGAGCTGCCATTTTCCATACCCAAGTTACTAACAAAAATTAATATCGTTTGAGGGTAATAGCGGTCAGCAGAGAGGAGCGCCTTCACTGAAGACATACTCAGCGTAACATTCCTTGAATCAATGTCATAAACTGTATATAAGTGTCTTTATTCACAGTTTGTCAGAAACATCATCCTTAAGATGATGTTTGTTAGGTAAATGGACACAGATGCAACTAATGTGATATTTTATTGTGGCAACGTTTTGCTCTCCAGTAGCTTTGTCAAGCTGTAACGGCTTGACAAAGCTCCTGGAGAGCGAAACGTTGCCACAATAAAATATCACGGTTGCATCTGTATCCAGTTACCTAACATTCTGTTGGTAATTCTACCACTATTAAGATGATTGTTTGAAAGTGTGCACTTGCTCCCTTTCCATTCCCCCTCCCCTTCCCCTCCTCCTCCTCCTCCTCCTCCCCCCCTTCCACATAAAGGCACGTCAACCCCCCGCCAAGTTCTCCACTCCATCAAGTGAACTACGCTCCACTGCCGCGAAGCGTCACTCAAGGAATAGCAATTAAATTCTTTTTAATGACAAAAATACAACAGTTTTTGGTGTCTTACCTCCAAGTGCTGATGTGATTCCAACATACTACTACTACTGCTACTACTACTACTACTACTACTACTACTACTACTACTACTACTACTACTACTACTACTACTACTACTACTACTACTACTACTACTACTACTGAATAATGTAATGCAACACTAGTGAAGAAACACACTAGTGAAGCAACACACTAGTGAACCAACACTCTACTTAACATTCTTATCCCACAACTAATTGGACTCATATTTCGCTAAAATTTAAGAACATTTTCAGACAAACAAGATATTAATACCAACCTATAAGATAAAATTATTTGGAAAACAAGATATTAAAAACAAATTACGGCACTCCAGGCCCCGGGAAGGTCGCTACCGTGCAAATCAATAAACGTTATGAAGTCTGTGTCGTCAGGGGTGAAGGGAACCCAAGGTAGGGAGTAGGAAGGGGTAGGGAGGAAGTGGAGGGGAATACATAGAGGATGGAGAGAAGGGGCGACAGCTGAGACTACTTAGAAGTTTGAAGGAGAGGAGGAGGAGGAGGAGGAGGAGGCTGATGAGGTGGGAGAGTTAGCGTAGGTCTTTGATGAAAGTACTGGAGTGTTAGTTTTCCAGAGACCTGACTCAGGGGTGTTTCCAGATGGAACATAAGCCTTCTAGCGCTCAAGTTTGACTGAGTGTTTACCTTCCAGGTACTTCACTGTCAGCTTTGCAGTCCGCTTATCCAAGTGAATAACTGGAGCGTGACGCTCCAGGCATCTGACTGTTAGCTTTCCAGTCCAATGGATCAAGTGAATGACTGGAGCGTAAAGTTCCAGTAACTTAATTGAGACTTCCAGCATGTAATATTGAGTGTGCCTAAAGAATATTATATATTTACCTGACTATTAGCCATCCAGCTCCCTGGCTGGAATATGAATATGGAAGGTAGCTCCCTGGCTGGAATATGAATATGGAAGGTAGCTCCCTGCCTGGAAAATGAATATGGAAGGTGGCCCCCTGCCTGGAATATGAATATGGAAGGTAGCTCCCTGCCTGGAATATGAATATGGAAAGTAGCCCCCTGCCTGGAATATGAATATGGAAGGCAGCTCCCTGGCTGGAATATGAATATGGAAGTAGCTCCTGCTGGAATTGATATGGAAGGTAGCTCCCTGGCTGGAATATGAATATGGAAAGTAGCTCCCTGGCTGGAATATGAATATGGAAGGCAGCTCCCTGGCTGGAACATGAATATGGAAGGAAGCTCCCTGGCTGGAATATGAATATGGAAGGAAGCTCCAGCGTCTACTGCTGCTCGTGCTACGTGATCCATGAGTGATCCAGGGTCTACTGCTGCTCGTGCTACGTGATCCATGAGTAATCCAGCGTCTACTGCTGCTCGTGCTACGTGATCCATGAGTAATCCAGCGTCTACTGCTGCTCGTGCTACGTGATCCATGAGTGATCCAGCGTCTACTGCAGTTCATGCTACGTGATCCATGAGTGATCCAGCGTCTACTGCTGCTCATGCTACGTGATCCATGAGTGATCCAGCGTCTACTGCAGTTCATGCTACATGATTCATGAGGGATCCAGCGTCTACTGTACAGAAGTGTAGTACAGAACGAGTGTAGTACAGGCCAGGTTTACCCCAGGATAAATGTAGAATACAAGTGAGACGAGTGTAGAGACAGGCACGTGTAGGGCGCTACAAGTGTGGAGTGCTACAAGTGTCTCAGCAGTAGTGGCACTTGTTGCATGCTGGAGGTGAGGGAGAGAAATTGGTAGTGCTGCAAGAACGCCACTTGGAACACCGGCAGTGTGCAGTAACCCAGTTTTCTGTGATAGTTACATGGCTAAAACAAACGCTGTGTTTACTTGAAATATTCCAGCACACAGGATGGGTTGCATCATATACCAGGTATAATAAAGTGTGTCAGGCTGAGATGGGAGACTTCAGTAGTGTCAGTCTGAGCTGGGTTTCTGTAGTAGTGTCAGCCTGAGCTGGGGTACTGTAGTAGTGTCAGTCTGAGCTGGGAGACTGCAGTAGTGTCAGTCTGAGCTGGGATACTGTAGCAGTGTCAGTCTGAGCTGGGAGACTTCAGTAGGGAGGTAAGAATGTATCGTAAATCATTCCACTATGGGTTCAGTAGCTACGACTTTAAAGGTTTCTCTCCAGCAGGGAGAGGAGGGGATGTAAGGGAGGAGGAGAGATAAGGGAAGAAGGTGCATAAAAGAGAAAAATGAGTGGGAGGAATGAAAGGCAATGGGTGGAGATAGTGTCATAAATTCTGAACATTACAGATGAGGCGGCACTGGCAGCACCTCGCAAATAACCTTTCAAGATTTATAAATTTATACCCGGCCCGTCTCACTCCTTGCATTATGCATGAAGCAAAATTATATTTGGAAATTCAACCTGAATAGGACAAAAATACAATGAGGAACTATGTTGTGAAAACAACCAAAGCGAAACGTTACACTCCAGATGTGCTCCAGTCAGGAAGTGTCAATATTGTGCTCATGACACACTGAAGTCTGGCACCTAGGAGATTACACAAATAACCTTCACATAGGAGAATGAAACTGATGACGTAGTTTCGGTCCAACTTGGACCATTTGTGTATTTTTCTAGTCATGGTATTGTGTCTTTTTATTCTTCACCTTGAAAAATCTGGTATCAGACACTAACACCTGAACACCGCAAGGTTTATAAATATATATATATAATATATATATATATATATATATATATATATATATATATATAATATATATATATATATATTATATATATATATATATATATATGCAAAACAACCACTCTGAAAGAATAGAGAAATTCCAAGCGCTTTCGTGACTACTCACATTATCAAGGAACTAGTTCCTTGATAATGTGAGTAGTCACGAAAGCGCTTGGAATTTCTCTATTCTTTCAGAGTGGTTGTTTTGCATATTCTGAAATCACCTGTTTACTGTGATCTTATTGCATATATATAATATATATATATATATATATATATATATATATATATATATATATATATATATATATATATATATATATATATATATATATATATATATATATATATATATATTATATATATATATACATATATATATATATATATATATATATATATATATATATATATATTATATATATATATATATATATATATATGTAGGGAATCACCACCTTTATAACCGGACTGGGGATCCTCATCCTCAGAGAAGACAATAAACGTACCTCAGGGAAAACTCAAGGTTCCCCCCGGAGCTGATTGAATATTTTCTTCTACCACCCCCTATATTTTTAAGCTACATGCGAACTTTATTAATAGACAGAATACATTGATAGAAAACATAAACATGAATACATTGGTATAGTGTGAACAGTAGACAGTGTGAATATTTTGTAAGTTAAGCAAATTTAAAGTCTTGAGTAACCCGGGTGTTTCATGGAGTCTGAATGAGTGAGTTTTCTGAGAGATGATTTTTTTGTTGAGTAACGGCAGGTTCAAGGTGATTATCAAGGTGACTGCTGATCCTCATTCACAGATACCATAGGCGAGGTATGCATGTATTAGATAGTTAAAATGAGCAAAGATGTTTGGGGGGACACAGCGTATTTTTGAGATAATCCTTGCTGACGATGCACCTTAATGGACAGCTTCTTTTCACTTCAACACACAAGTACATTAAGGAAAGTCTTTATTCACAGTCCTCTCACTCATGAATTTTATGGAGAGCTCATCTGTATTGAGTCTGGGTGATATTTATAACGTGTTAAGCACAATGGGGAGGATATCGTGCTCATAATGTAGCGATATTATACTGTAGGGAGTAAAGGGGTGACTATCGCCAGATACTGAAAGTAGAGGTTAGCCAGAGCAACACTGATGGGGATACCATTGCTATAATTAAAATGATGCTCTTATTGAAGGTTATCACAAGAAAAAAATCGAAATTTGCGCCACACAACCTGGCAACATCCCTGACCATGTCGTCTCTCTCACACAGGTTCCCAGGCGGTGTCACCAACCCTGGCAACATCCCTGACCATGACGTCTCTCTCACACAGGTTCCCTGGCGGTGTCACCAACCCTGGCAACATCCCTGACCATGTCGTCTCTCTCACACAGGTTCCCTGGCGGTGTCACCAACCCTGGCAACATCCCTGACCATGTCGTCTCTCTCACACAGGTTCCCTGGCGGTGTCACCAACCCTGGCAACACCCCTGACTATGACATATCTCTCACACAGGTTTCCTGGCGGTGTCACCAACCCTGGCAACATCCCTGACCATGTCGTCTCTCTCACACAGGTTCCCTGGCGGTGTCACCAACCCTGGCAACATCCCTGACTATGACATATCTCTCACACAGGTTCCCTGGCGGTGTCACCAACCCTGGCAACATCCCTGACCATGACGTCTCTCTCACACAGGTTTCCTGGCGGTATCACCAACCCTGGCAACATCCCTGACCATGACGTCTCTCTCACACAGGTTCCCTGGCGGTGTCACCAACCCTGGCAACATCCCTGACAATGTCGTCTCTCCCACACAGGTTCCCTGGCGGTGTCACCAACCCTGGCAACATCCCTGACCATGACGTCTCTCTCACACAGGTTCCCTGGCGGTGTCACCAACCCTGGCAACATCCCTGACCATGACGTCTCTCTCACACAGGTTCCCTGGCGGTGTCACCAACCCTGGCAACATCCCTGACCATGACGTCTCTCTCACACAGGTTCCCTGGCGGTGTCACCAACCCTGGCTATATCCCTGACCATGACGGGTGTGAGAGTGGGTCAGGGTTGGAAGTACCACAAAAGTGCCAGCTAGCTACTAGACGTGCCTCGCACAGGCCTAGATCCACTGAGAGTGCCTGGCTGCAAGGTTCTATCAGTGGCCCTCGGCAACACTACCGGGCTCAAGAGACTTACTTCGACTGTGAGTTCTACATATATGGACACAAGTACCAAAGTGAGTCCAGATTCTGTATTTTACTATGAAAGAAACATGAAGAATGTTTTTATGTACGTTTCTTGTTTACGTGTATTAAGTGTGAAACTCATGCAAGTCATGCAGCACAAGGCTTGACCCTCCGTCCATTAATTGCAGCTTGTTCTCTGACCAGTCAGACCGACGGTAATCGCCCAACACACACACACACACACACACACACACACACACACACACAGGGGGAGGGGCAAAGAAGACCGCAGACAGAGTATAGGCTAGGTGGACAAAGACTACAGACCTCACTCAGGGAGAAAGACCTTGGGGTGACCATAACACCGAGCACATCACCGGAGGCACACATCAACCAAATAACCGCTGCAGCATACGGGCGCCTGGCAAACCTGAGAATAGCGTTCCGATACCTTAATAAGGAATCGTTCAAGACACTGTACACTGTGTATGTTAGGCCCATACTGGAGTATGCAGCACCAGTCTGGAACCCACACCTGGTCAAGCACGTCAAGAAGTTAGAGAAAGTACAAAGGTTTGCAACAAGGCTAGTCCCAGAGCTCAAGGGAATGTCGTACGAGGAAAGGTTAAGGGAAATCGGACTGACGACACTGGAGGACACAAGGGTCAGGGGAGACATGATAACAACATACAAGATACTGCGGGGAATAGACAAGGTGGACAGAGATAGGATGTTCCAGAGAGGGGACACAGGGACAAGGGGTCACAACTGGAAGCTGAAGACTCAGACGAGTCACAGGGACGTTAGGAAGTATTTCTTCAGTCATAGAGTTGTCAGCAAGTGAAATAGCCTAGCAAGTGAAGTAGTGGAGGCAGGAACCATACATAGTTTTAAGAAGAGGTATGACAAAGCTCAGGAAGCAGAGAGAGAGAGGATCCAGTAGCGATCAGTGAAGAGGCGGGGCCAGGAGCTGAGTCTCGACCCCTGCAACCACAATTAGGTGAGTACACACACAGTCATAGAGTCGTCAGGAAGTGGAATAGCCTAGCATGTAAAGTAGTGGAGGCAGGAACCATACATAGTTTTAAGAAGAGGTATGACAAAGCTCAGGAAGCAGAGAGGGAGAGGACCTAGTAGTGATCAGTGAAGAGGCGGGGCCAGGAGCTGAGTCTCGACCCTTGCAACCACAATTAGGTGAGTAATTAGGTGAGCACACACACACACACACACACACACACACACACACACACACACACACACACACACACACACACACACACACACACACACACACACACAAACACACACACAAGGGGACACAGTTGGAAGTTGAAGACACAGATGAATCACAGGGATGTTAAGAAGTATTTCTTCAGCCACAGAGTAGTCAGGAAGTGGAATAGTTTGGGAAGCGATGTAGTGGAGGCAAGATCCATACATAGTTTTAAGCAGAGGTATGATAAAGCTCACGTTTCAGGGAGAGTGACCTAGTAGTGACCAGTGAAGAGGCGGGGCCAGGAGCTTGGACTCGACCCCTGCAACCTCAACTAGGTGAGTACACACACACACACACAGACACACACACACACACACACACACACACACACACACACACACACACACACACACACACACACACACACACACACACATATAGTATGCAAAATCATGGAGAAGATTATCAGGAGAAGAGTGGTGGAACACCTAGAAAGGAATGATCTCATCAACAGCAGCCAGCATGGTTTCAGGGACGGGAAATCCTGTGTCACAAACCTACTGGAGTTCTATGACATGGTGACAGCAGTAAGACAAGAGAGAGAGGGGTGGGTGGATTGCATTTTCTTGGACTGCAAGAAGGCGTTTGACACAGTTCCACACAAGAGATTGGTGCAAAAACTGGAGGACCAAGCAGGGATAACAGGGAAGGCACTACAATGGATCAGGGAATACTTGTCAGGAAGACAGCAGCGAGTCATGGTACGTGGCGAGGTGTCAGAGTGGGCACCTGTGACCAGCGGGGTCCCGCAGGGGTCAGTCCTAGGACCAGTGCTGTTTCTGGTATTTGTGAACGACATGACGGAAGGAATAGACTCTGAGGTGTCCCTGTTTGCAGATGACATGAAGTTGATGAGAAGAATACACTCGATCGAAGACCAGGCAGAACTACAAAGGGATCTGGACAGGCTGCAGACCTGGTCCAGCAATTGGCTCCTGGAGTTCAATCCCACCAAGTGCAAAGTCATGAAGATTGGGGAAGGGCAAAGAAGGCCGCAGACGGAGTACAGTCTAGGGGGTCAGAGACTACAAACCTCACTCAAGGAAAAAGATCTTGGGTGAGTATAACACCAGGCACATCTCCTGAAGCGCACATCAACCAAATAACTGCTGCAGCATATGGGCGCCTAGCAAACCTCAGAACAGCATTCCGACATCTTAATAAGGAATCGTTCAGGACCCTGTACACCGTGTACGTTAGGCCCATATTGGAGTATGCGGCACCAGTTTGGAACCCACACCTAGCCAAGCACGTAAAGAAACTAGAGAAAGTGCAAAGGTTTCCAACAAGACTAGTCCCAGAGCTAAGAGGTATGTCCTACGAGGAGAGGTTAAGGGAAATCAACCTGACGACACTGGAGGACAGGAGAGATAGGGGGGACATGATAACGACATACAAAATACTGAGAGGAATTGACAAGGTGGACAAAGACAGGATGTTCCAGAGATTGGACACAGTAACAAGGGGACACAGTTGGAAGCTGAAGACACAGATGAATCACAGGGATGTTAGGAAGTATTTCTTCAGCCACAGAGTAGTCAGTAAGTGGAATAGTTTGGGAAGCGATGTAGTGGAGGCAGGATCCATACATAGCTTTAAGCAGAGGTATGATAAAGCTCACGGCTCAGGGAGAGTGACCTAGTAGCGATCAGTGAAGAGGCGGGGCCAGGAGCTCGGACTCGACCCCCGCAACCTCAACTAGGTGAGTACAACTAGGTGAGTACACACACACACACACACACACACACACACACACACACACACACACACACACACACACACACACACACACACACACACACACACAAAACAACTTGTTTGTACAACTTAAAATCTTCATGGTGTTGGCAATGACTGCGTCATCACCATCTAGTTTTAACATCTCACAAGATCAGTACAAACCTGATGCTATCACTGTTTTATAGAGATCACTAGTTCCTTGGACACCACCTACCATGACCCACCATGATACCATTGCTTACGCTACCATCTTCAACACATTGTGTTGCCATGTTCCTGCCATAGTGCAGGAGCGCGGGTCTTCATTTAACAAAGACTCGAGTCAAGAGATTTTTCTCTGAAGAATAGAGGTACATAAATATTTTTTAGTTTACTGGAGAGGGCTGCGGCGTGAGGCCGAAAAATACAGTTACCATTTAAATGTTTTACTCTCCATGTAGATTTATGTGTGCCAATGATCATTGCATTTGTGTGTGTACTCATCTATATGTGGTTGCAGGGGGTCGAGAAACAGCTCCTGGCCCCTTGTGTGTGCTCTTCGCGACAGGGTACATGAGACGTGGAAGGCATCATCTGCTGCCTCTCACGCTCCTCAACTCAGAAAAGAAGATTACACTCCCAAACCTCCAAATTCTCCCCCCTCCCTCCCTCCCATTCTCTTCCCCCTTCCCTTCCCATCTGCACGCCAATACTTCTCCATAACTCCCTTTTCCCTCCACCCTCGCCCTCCACAAGAGATAAGATACGATTTTGTTTGGGGTTTTAACCACCCAGGTTAATTCGAGGACTGTCTGTCTTATTTCCATTTTGGTCCTTCAACCTTGTCCCCCAGGATGCCACCCACACCAGTCCATTAACACCCAGATACTTACTGCTAGATAAACAGGGACGCATCCAACAGTGAAGCACAGGTGTACACGTTATCACGTCGAGGGAGCAACAAGATCTTTCTGGGAAAACGGCAAGGAATCTTTCCATACGAGTTTAAGAACACAGAAATGCATTCAACTTAAACACATGCAACCGAGCACCGTTGGTACTCATCACCTACTACTAGCCTGAGGGACAGATTACCTCGTTTTGTATATTCTTCTACAGTCTTCACATTATGTCCTTGTATTGTTATTCATAAAGCCACTTTATGGAGAAAAGTCTACAAATTAAAGATACCCAGATGTTGCACACGTGTCAACTTCTTCATTACCAACCTTATTCTGAGTGGGCTACACCTGTCCTGAAATTTTGAAGCCGGTGAGAAGAGGATTTGTAGCTATTTCATGGAGACCAGTTTAAGTAATGGTCTACACGAAACAGCCGAGGACACATAAAACCGAGCGAGGACGCCGGCACTTCCCAGTACCTTCACCTAGCAATAGTTGACCAGGATTAAACATTTAAAGGCGATTGAATAAGTCGTTATTAAATGGACACCAATTTATTTAATAAAACTAACAATCTGGAAATATCAAAATGAAAACCAAGCGTTCATTTAATAAAGCCCATCAGCATAAAGTTTGAAACCTATCGGAAAAAGCGTTCTTCAGTAATTGCTCTGAATCCAATAATAATAATAAATAATAATAATAATAATAATAATAAAAATAATAATAAAAATTTAAATTAAATTTTAAATTAAAAATTAAAAATTATTATTATTATTATTATTATTATTATTTTCAATTTGAAGCCGATAAGACTAGGCATTCTCTAGTTATTGAATGGAAATCAATAGTGCGAGACTTGATACCTGTAGTCAGCTAGTCTATATATTACTTTCTTACAGAGGGCGAGAAGGAGATGCTACCAGCAGGCCTACACGAGTTTCCCTTTGCCTTTATCCTGCCGCCCAACCTGCCACCCAGCTTCAACAGTGAGAAGGGTTTCATTGGTTATATGGCCTTGGCTATCCTTGACCGCCCTGCCGCGGCCAACCTGGTGCAGAAGGCCGGGTTTAGTCTCCACACTATCCTCAATCTTAATATGATCTCCCACAGCACTGTGAGTACCCGGGGTTCACATCCTGGACAGTAACATGATCACCTACAGCAGTGAGAGTACCCGGGGTTCACATCCTACACAGTAATATGATCACCTACAGCAGTGAGAGTACCCGGGGTTCACATCCTGCACTATCCTGAACAGTAATAGGATCACCCACAGTGTCAGTACCTGGGGTTCACATCCTGCACAGTAACTTGATCACCTACAGCAGTAAGAGTAACCGGGGTTCACATCCTGCACTATCCTGGTCCCTGGACAGTAACATGATCACCCACAGCAGTGTCAGTACTCAGGGTTCACATCCTGCATGATTCTTATGCTTGCGTCTTAACACTTTTTCGGCTACTAGCAAAAAGAAGTCATGTCTCTCCTAACAAACGTGAGTTTTGAGCACACTTGTGAATATAATACATATTATTATTATTCCTGCTTAATTTACATTACTTGCCCCTATCTTGTAATATGCATGTGACTCAGTCACTCACATCATGATATAGACATTATGATAAATTAGACACATGTGCAACTCTTGGGAATCTTTACTGTGGAAACGTTTCGCCACACAGAAGCTTCATCAGTCCAATACAAAGAAGAATGATGAAGATCACAAGGAGTTTGAGGTAATCAGTCCCTCAGCCTGGATTCGATGTAATCAGTCCATCAAGATTAATGGACTGATTACATCGACTCTCGGCTGAGGTACTGATTACCTCAAACTCCTTCTGATCTTCACCATTCTTTATATTGGACTGATGAAGCCACTGTGTGGCGAAACAGTTCCACAATAAAGATTCCCAGTTGTTGCATATGTGTCTTATTTATCAACTTGTCGAATCTCTGAACCATTTACCTACATAAAGGCATTATAAAAGATATATTGACTGGTTACTGGTGTCACTCTTGTCGACAGTCGTCGAGCAGCAGCAGCACCTCCAAGAACGTGTGTTGCTTCTGCTGTCAGACTGGACCCATCACCCTGGCGGCCCGCATCCCCCGTCAAGGCTACGTCCCGGGCGAGGAGATCTTAGTCTCTGCTGAGGTCGATAACATCTCCTCCAGGAGCACTCGCAGGACCAGACTCCTGCTGCTGCAGGTAGGACATGCTGCCGCCTTTTATCGCTTTATGGTTCCAGGCATCATGGCTCCAGGCCTCCTAAATTGAATTATTAGAAAAATAAGGAACAGTGAATGCAAGTATACGTTTGTAAGATTGTAAATGTCATTGACCTTAACCCGCACTTAAGATGAGGAACCTTAAGACGACGTTTCGGTCCATTCTGGACCAGTCAAATTACAACCAGGGTGAGAAAGATACAGAAGAAGATGCGACAGGTGGAGAAGTGTAGTTGAAATTGTTAGTAATGGTAGTAGACGTAGTGTTACTAATAGTAGTAGAGTTAAGAGTAGTAATAGTAGTGTTAGTAGTAATAGTGAAGTTGGACGTAGAATTAACAGCAGCTGTAACACGGGTAACAACAGTGGTAGTGGCAGTAGTACCTCAGTGGATGGTGGTAGATGTGGCATTAGAAATGTGTAGGGTATTAGTGATGGGTTAGGTGAGGTTCATCAGAGAACAGGACAAATGTTTCCTGACGCGGGTCTTGGATGATGACCCGCCATTGGAGCTTTTGGTCATCTGACCGAGGCCTTCTGCTGGCTTACCGGTCCACCCCTTTAAAAACTATGGTCATAGTTATAACTATTTTAGTTGTAGGATATTGGTGATATTGAGCTGTAATATTGTTCACTAAGCTAGCAGTCCACCCGTACACCATGCATGATAAGTATGCATATTTTAACACTGGCCAGGCAAAGCCTAGACACTGTTGCCAGACGTTGCTGGAAGGGTTGCAAAAACATGAACAGTGTACAATGATGATAGCTTGGAGGAAATAAGCTTGTAGGAATTTTGTAGTGGTTGTGATGGTGGTGGTGAGAAATCTTCGCCATTTATTTTTTCTTTTTTTAGCAAAACTGGATATGAAGAATGTGCAACAGTTAGATCTTTATTCCGAAACGTTTCGCTAACACAGTAGGCTTCTTCAGTCTTTTCGATAGCCAGTGGCTTCTTCACTTCAACAGAACGGTGGAAGATGAGTTCGAGGTAATCAGTCCCTCAATATTCTTATTTCCATCCTTCTTTCTTAGACTGAAGAAGCCACTGGATAGCGAAACGTTTCCAGAATAGGTACTCAAATGTTGCACAGATGTCTTATTTATCAACCTGTCGGTATTCTAAACCATTTATACAAATTCTTGGGTGGAATACAGAGGAGACAGCAGCAGTGAATATGTAAACACGATGTAATCAGTCCATCACCATCGAAATCGTAATTCTGAGGTGGTCAGTCCCTCAGCCTAGAGAAGAGTTCTGTTCCATAGTCTGGAACAATGTGAAGATGAAGCATCAGAATGGAGGCTATATACTGCCAAAGGTGAGGCGCAGGAAATCTTGCGGACAGACGAGGCGAGGCCCACTACTAGGAGTAAGAATGTAATAATTGAGAGGCAGTGTTGCAAGCCTACTGGGTAGGTCCCTCTCAGGTCCAACCTTCTAGTGGTCAGGCTATAAACTTGTCGAAGATGTCCTCTGTACATTATTTTTGTCTCGCGTTGAAATGATGCCGATAAACATTCAGAAAGATACAGCGCATATTAACCCCTAGGTGTTAATCTACTCAAATCTCATTAGACCTAGGTGTGAATTTGATCCATATGTAACACTTATGTGTAAAGTTGTAAAATGAATAAATCTTTAAACACCTAGATGTGATTTTCATCCAGATGACGCCTAGGTGTTAATTTGACCCATATATTTTAAAAAGTAGGGTTGCACTATGCTGCAATATAAAACTTAAATAGTAGTATTAGCTCAATCTCTATATTGAAGGCCTTTACTAATGTTGCAACTCACATGCCAAGAACTATATGACGGCAACCTCCTTGTCTAGGTGCCCGGGGCACCTCAAAACTGAAAAGTGGCAGATGCAGTTCAATGTGGACAAGTGTAAAGTCCTAGTCCTTGAGAGTGAAAATAACCCTCGAAGTTATAAACAAGTTGATGAAGAATTAGAAACACGTGAAACATCTAGGTGTCTTTGTGGTATAAACATTTGGTCGAGGCTTAGAAAGTCCAAAGAGAGGATCACAAGGACGTGTCTAAAGTCAGTTCAGTTTAATATCTTTATTGTGCACCTCATACCCATCCTGTGGGCGGTAGTCAAAAGATTACAGAGGTACATAATGGGTCCAGGGACTGAGCCCCAAAGTTGTGATAGATGACCTAGTTACAACGGTAATGAACTCCAGGTAGATCTGGTCACAATCATGGCAAGTTACAAAGGTAATGAACCATTTACATTCCTATACATAGTTACAGTCATGAACAAATTACAAAATAATGAGCCACTGACACGTCCACACCCGGTCACAATTGTAATGAGTTATAAATATAAATATTAAGTGGGTCATACACACACACACACACACACACACACACACACACACACACACACACACACACACACACACACACACACACATACACACACAGTAAATTAATTATTGTTAATAATATCCTTGTTTAAGGACACCCAGATCTTTGCCATATCATTACTCAAAACATGCTAAAGATAATCACTAAAATAACTGGCACTGCAGGACCATAATGATTATATAAAATCTACTGAACTTAGTAAAGTGATTGGACTGTATGCGTGACCAGTCTCATACGAAATGCTTTAAAGCAAATTAAAAATTTACAGAAGGTTCTGAAATTGGCCATTAATACACGCAATCTATCCGTACCCCCACAAAAATAAGTATTCCTTGTGAAAGTTAATATTTATGAGATATTAGACATAATAATACTTTCATTTTTGCTAGAATGTACTCCAGAAGATCTGGCCAGTCACGTCCCGGTGTTCAGTCATGTAACGCACCTGGTCAATCACGTGACGCACCTGGTCAGTCACGTGACGCACCTGGTCAGTCACATAACGCACCTGGTCAGTCACATGACGCACCTGGTCAGTCACATGACGCACCTGGTCAGTCACATGACGCACCTGGTCAGTCACGTCACGCACCTGGTCAGTCACGTCACGCACCTGGTCAGTCACGTGACGCACCTGGTCAGTCACGTGACGCACCTGGTCATCATACGCACTGTCATCATAACGCACCTGGTCAGTCACATAACGCACCTGGTCAGTCACATAACGCACCTGGTCAGTCACATAACGCACCTGGTCAGTCACATGACGCACCTGGTCAGTCACAGCTCTTAAACCTTCCCATCTACAATTTTAAACTTGCGTCCACCAGATTAATATCTTCTCGTTGTCATACCTGTGAAATTACTTTTTACGGCACAGTTCGACATAACTCTGGACACAAAAATGTGAGTGTCACTGTAAAATCATCATTTAATAGGCACATAAGTTATTGTAGGCTAAGTTACATTACACTGAGTTATATTACGTAATATTAGTTTTTTCCCAATTCCACAACACAATACTATCCAGCGTTGTTGTGCCCATTTATGACTGGACATTTATGATTGGACATTTATGATTGGACATTTATGATCGTCCATTTATGATTGGACATTTTAATCATAACTTAATTACTAAACTCAGATTCAGTAGTCAAGCCAATATTTCCCCCAAAACACTATTGCATTGCTCGACTTCCCACACAGTCGTCCACAAGGGACTCTGTATAATGCAGCTACACAGTTACATCATTAGTTTGGCTTGCAGCCTATTATTCTAATGTGTCCAGTAATTTAATAACAAACAAAAGGGATTAAGGTGGATTAAGCACCGCTTGAGATAATCCATGTTTACACTACATGGGTTTAGGTAGGTGTAACAAAAACAATGAATTATTAACTACACATAACAATATAACAAAAAGTTATAAGTATATTTTTAAAAGGGTGGAGGGGTAAGCCAGCAGAATTCATCGGACAGATGACCAAAAGCTCCAGCTGCGGGTCATCATATAACTAAGATTTGCGTCAGGAAACACTTGTCCTGTTTCTTGACGAACCTGACCTAACCTAACCTATAACACAAAGAACTGTGAGGGGGGTCACGACAATCACCGTACTGAAGGTTCACGTGGGAACTGCTGCTGCTTTACTGGTGATAATTATATCAGATTATCTTGTTTACACCATATCGTGCATCTGTCTCGAATTAAGATATAGGAATTGTCTAAAGGCGGCGATGGTGGCAGTGTTGGTGGTAATAATGGTGCTGATTGTGGTGGTGCTAATCGTGGTGGTGGTCCTAATCGTGATGGTGATGTTGCTGATCGTGGTGGTGATGGTGTCAGTTGAATGCCCTAGATGTAAACTTCTTGCAATTCAACAATGTCACCTTAAGCACTCATGGGCAGGCTTCCAGGAAGTGCAGCCTAGTCACATGAACAAATCCTAGCCAAGTTTATAGGTCCAGCACCAGTAACCTATGATGGGAAACAGATATCACTTGTACCATGTGCCAGGTCCAATCAATTTGTCGTATAACTGGGGCTGCTACATCCACCATTTCGGGGGAACCTGGACCCCATTACGTACACCATACAAGAGTTGCATTGGACACTTGTGCAACACTTTGGTATCTTTATTGAGGAAACGTTTCGCCAACCAGTGGATTTTCCAGTCCAAACAGAGAAGAATTTTTGAAGATCAGGAGTTTGAGGAAATCATTCTCTAAGCCTAGAATCGATGTTGGGATCCTCTCCAAGATACGATACTACGTGCCGCAAAATGCCCTTCTCACACTATACCACTCACTTATTTATCCATACCTCACCTATGCTATTTGTGCTTGGGGATCAACTGCAGCAACACACCTAAAGCCAATAATAACCCAACAAAAAGCTGCAGTAAGAATAATCACTAAATCCCATCCCTGGCAGCACACCCCCCCACTCTTCAAAAATCTAAATTACTCCCAGTTCAGTACATCACACTTACTACTGTGCAATCTATATCTACAGGGGCCTTAAACTCTAATATCAAACCTTGACCTAAAAAAAGCTTTCTTGATAGTTGTGACAGAACCCACAGGCATAACACCAGACACAAACATCTCTACGACATTCCCCGTGTCCGGGACTAAAACCTTTTACAAAAATCAATGTATGTCAAAGGCCCAAAAATCTGGAATACCCTCCCTTTGAGAACTTAGAACTGCAGACACATTCACCCACCTTTCCCCAAAACTAACCATTTATAAACATCTTATCCCCCTGATTACCCCCTTCAACTAACTACACGAATACCACCGGGTGGTTCACACTTACACTCGCTCACTTCATTTGACCATAAACAAAAAATATTAATCCTCAGTCTTAAAATAATGAATCCTGTGATACCCAATACTGAAACTAATATACTGTGCCAAAACAAAAGCATTCACATTGCTAAACTCATAAACTAGTTTTAGTCACTTAGGGCCCTAAACCAACTTACCTCATAATTTGTAATATTTACAAATTTAAAAAATAAAACTAAGTAATGCCCGAAATGGTAGCCCTGCCTAACGTTCTAGTGGTACACTCTGTAATCACAATTTTACTACATGTAAACCAAACAATAACTAAATTTCTGTAAACTCAGCATTGTAATCCTTATAGAGAATAAACTTTGAATTGAATTGAATTGAATGTGTTCATTCTATCAATCTTGATAATTATATATTAGGGAAGGATCATTACGAGGACAACTGAGCCAAGATTAAGTGGAGACGGAAAGTAAGGGCGAATGATTAATTAAGTTTAAATCCTATCAACTATGCGAGGGTCTTAATTAAGGTTACATGTCGTCTGTTCACTACAAGTCAAGGATACTTTAATATCTAAAATAGAGATAAAAGTAAACCCACAGTGTGTATACAATGAGAGACATACACCTCACGGTGTACATATCCTGTTTAAAAGTATAAACGCGTGCATGCATTGCCCTGTATAAATGTACACACACACACACATACGTTTTTAACATGATAGTTGTGGCATGCAAAGAGTATATTCGGTGCAAGCGAACCAGGTACTAAGGTTGGCGATGGGGCCCCGTCGTTCAACCAGTACCCAGGTTCCAGCCAATGAGAAGATGGTTTTGGTAATCAGCAGAGGTTATGTGGGTACCACTCTCCTGTCATTCCCATTCTAGAGCTGGTTGAACCACGGTCTGCTCTCTAGTGGCTTCTATTCTGCCTTGCTTACCGTGGAGTGCACTAATACCTATTGTTGTACATAGTGTATATAGTGTACATACTTCTGTTCTAAATTGGTGAAGGATAATATAAGTCAAAAGTTTTCTGCTGTGTTTATTTTGCTCTCTTTACACCCAGGATAACAGGCCTTTCAGACTCCTGGGTAGTAATATGGGGGCCTGTCCGGGAGCTGAACCCGGGACCTCTCACATTATCATTTCTGGGTGTCATGTTGGTTATATCAGATAATACACATGTTTAGAAGAGCCAGGTTTTTACAAATTATTTTTGATAATTTAGTTAATTTGTTTTCAACACAAAAACAATATATATATATATATATATATATATATATATATATATATATATATATAATATATATATATATATATATATATATATATATATATATATATGTCGTGCCGAATAGGCAGATCTTGCCATCTTGGCTTAAATAGCAACGCTCATCTTGCCATATAGGACAAGCGAAAATTTGTGTATGCAATAATTTCGCCAAAATCATTCTGAACCTAACGAAAAAAAATATATTTGATTGTGTTTGTTTAGTACTAAATTATTGTAAACGTATTTAAAATATATTAAGTTGGGTTAGGCTAAAATAAATTGCTCTTGTTATAATAAGGTTAGGTAAGTTTTCTAAGATTCTTTTGGTGCAAAATTAAAAAAATTTACATTAACATTAGTGAAAAAATTATATCTTTAAACGTATAAGAAAAAATTTCAGAAAGGATTTAATTTTAAATGAGTTCTTACTAATTGACCAGTTTTGCATATTCGGCACGACATATATATATATATATATATATATATATATATATATATATATATATATATATATATATATATATATATATATATATATATATATATATAATATTGGCTGTCACGATAAGTCCAATCCTGAGTCACATTTAAAGTATTATAGACTGTCTAAAGTGATAACAAAGCAAGGTGATATTTGTGAGAGGTTATCAGAGGAGAGAAGGCAGGTGTGGTTGTCACGTTTGTAACAAAACCAAACAGCAAAAAAATCTTGAAAAAGTGTGTTCAGTACATTGTATATCAGGTAAGACCTGGTAAAATTTAATATTGTTGTCGTACACAGTAATAATATCACTATATGAAAATAAGAAGATAACTAATAAGTAATCAGTAAAGAAATGTATGTGTGGAATATTAAATAGGTAATAAATGATCCAGTCAGTAATATAAAATAACTTACCAAAGTATGCCAATAAGCATAGTCTAATTTCTGTTTACTAAACTGTTACAAATATTGAGTTACATTAACTATGTTGGTGCAGTAACGAGTCTGATGTCCCTGGCAAGCACAAACTTCATAATTTCGTAAATTTAATACAAGTTTGCATTAAAATTTTCAGAGTTTGTATTTTGTAAGTTTGTAAGACTAACAGGATTATATATTCATACCGAGTTTGTAAGTTCGACTTAACTTTAAACCATGGTTGCGCTCGTAGGTCTGGTTTTCAAAAGATCCAACGTGAGGCAGCATTATAACATTTCCCAGGTGATAATACTGTGCCCCAAATGCTTAATTATGATCCTGTTAGCGATGTGGCCGTCTTAAGGAACACAATGCATGACTTTCTTTTTCTGCTGAGGCTGATCCTACTCTGCCTGCTAGTGATCCTGCTTCTCCTGCACCAGTTTCTGAAGCTGTACCTACTCAAAATCCTTCTGCCTTACCTGTAACTTCTCAAGACGAACGCCTAGAAGTACAGCTCTTTGAGAGAAGCTGACTCACATACCATCGATATTGTCTATACACTGATTTAACTGACTTCAGTCTACCAGTATTAAAAGCCCCATTCGATGACGTGTTGTGTCCGACAATAGGTAGTAAGAAGGCAAATGACTATCGACAACTAAAGGGAAATAGACACGAATGCATTCACTTAGGACACATTTATTTGAAAGAGCTTCAGTCCTGGGACCCTATGGCCCGATTACTTTATTTACATGTTGTGATCAAGGTACCAAGATCGAAATGTCTTTAAAAAAAGGTGTCCTAGTGTATGTACTCGTGTTCATTTCCCCAAACCCACCTTCATCACAGCCACAAGCCTAGCACTTCTACACATGAAAAAGGTGAATGTATTTCATTCATCCAGCAAGAAACATAAGGTAGCCATCAAAAACAGGAGAAAAAACTGTGATGAAAGCTGTAGCGAAAGAAAAACTTCGTGAGAGCCAAATAATTAACTAATTTGTTTACAACTGATAAATAGTGTTCACTGAAATGTCTCGGTGTTTCAAAGTTTTATCAGGATTTACCCAAAAGTTTTACTAGGTTTTACCACAACTGTTAAAAGAGCATTGTCACTCCTGATATTAGCATCATCAATATTATATCAATATCTTATATATTACCATTCTACAGTATACATTACCAGCCAATAACTGTCACCACTACTAATCCCATATCAATACTGTACCATCAGTTCCCACCCACAATCCCACACCACGTCTCCCACCTATTGATCCTCGCCCACGCGTAACCACGTACCATCTTTTCTACGTACAGGTGATCACGTACATCATGCCCAATGGTGTGAAGGAGGTGGTGGAGGAGCGGGTGGTGAAGGAGGTAGTGAGGGGCATGATACCTCCTGGGGAGTCTGATCTGTGGGAGAATGTGGCACTGGTAGTGCCTCCTCTGGTGCCAGCCAACATCCATCTCACCTGCCGTTTACTACATGTCAAGTACCGCCTCGATGTGAGTAGTACTCTCACACATCCCCCTTTTGCCTCCGTAGATAATGTATGTGCGTGTGTGTACTCACCTACTTGTGGTTGCAGGGGTCGATTCATAGCTCCTGGCCCCGCCTCTTCACTTACTGCTACTGGGTCCTCTCTCTTCCTGCTCCATGAGGTTTATCAAACCTCGTCTTAAAACTATGTATGGTTCCTGCCTCCACTACGTCACTTTCTAGGCTATTCCACTTCCTGACAACTTTATGACTGAAGAAATACTACCTAACATCCCTTTGACTCATCGGTCTTCAACTTCCAATTGTTACTCCTTGTTTCTGTGTTCCATCTCTACAACATCCTGTCTTTGTCCACCTTGTGTGTGTACTTACCTAATTGTGGTTGCAGGGGTCGATTCATAGTTCCTGTGTGTGTGTGTGTGTGTATCACTACCTCCTTTGGGATCCTATTCCTATATTCATTATTGTGATTTGTATTTTGGGTATTTTAGTGCCTTTTTTTTTAATTTTCAATCCTAGCCTCCTGTTCACTCATTTCAGTGCTAAGATTTTTTTTTCTTTCGTATCCTCTTTCTCTTATGAACTAAAACCCCACTTGCTCGTTTCATACTGACCTGCTGTACTGACCCAGCGTGCTGACCCTCAGATGATCTTGGAGCTACCGGTGCCGTCATCAGAGATGAGAGTGAGTCTGCCTCTCATCATTGGATCAGTACCATTAAGGAACCGCTTCTCATCCTTCCTACCTCCCAGCGAGACCCGCAAGGTTTCTGATCTACCTGGTATCAAGTACCCCAACTACCGTGAGTCTCGCCATAACCTGTTCTCACATCACCATGGGCTGTCCTACCATATACTGTTCCCACACCACCATGGCTCATGTACCATATACCACACCACAATCACCCACCATACTGACCTTCACCACCACAGGTTGGCTACACCATCAACTCCACCAGAAATTATATTCATTCATTGTCGCAAATTTAAAATTTAAATTCTTTAGTCACAAAATATTACATTCACGTATCGTATACAAGGTGAATGTATAGTTGATACAGGGTATTGTAATGTGTGAAGCCATTTCTACATTCCTCAAAAGACTTTGGATAAAAATAAAACGGATATTTACACAAATATGAGCTACAATGTAATGTTGACATTTTTTTTATTTGAATAATGTATTTTATTGAAAGGCATACATTTTTTCCTCTGCTAGAAAACAAATTATTGTCTCTATTAAGGTGAGACAGTGGCATTAGTCTAGATCACTCTGAGGGGAGAACTTAGTATAATATATTTGAAAGATCCTCGTTTAATATATACAACATTGCTAAAATTGGTTATATAGTCCTAGGCTATTTCACTTGCCTGTGGATGTAATTTGCATTATAAAGTATAATTTACATTTCTTGAGATATAATTAATATGTATATCTGCAGCCTCGCACTGGTTCGGTGAATGTACCTTCGGTAGTGAGTGTTTGGAGACCCAGTACGAGCACTTCACTGGTATGCAGGTGGACTATGATGGGTTCCAGTACACACCATTCACACACTTCGCCCCCAGATATATCTGCTACACTCCTGGTAACAAGGTGGACAGCGACCCACGATGACATCAGGTCAATCCATCTAAACATCACAGAAGCAGAACAAAACAAGGCATCGCCAGCACTCCTACAACACACAGTGACTGAAGTTCACTGCTCCAGAATTTGCTTTACGCAAAAAATAATAATTTGATTAGCAAACAAAACAAAGATAGGCAAGTTTCCTTATACCTGCTGTCTCTGTTCACCTACAGATAAATAGGTACCTAGGTGTTCGTCAGCTATTGTGAGTCATCATTAAATAGGACCACAATAGATATAAACCGTACTAGGCTGGGTTACCTTAAATAAAAATTTATTAGTCATTGAAGCAACACAACAAATGTGAAGCTATGAGGCGCCACCACAGTCAATGACGGAGTCATGGAGAGAAAAAACTGAGTATATTGCACTTCACTGTAAAGATGTAGGAGCAACCCGTCAAGCTTGATGATGCTCTGACGCTCCTGGTTGTTGAGATATATTTGGAGGGTGTTCCGGGGGTCAACGCCCCCGGGGTCCGGGTCATGACTAGGCCTCATGGTCTAGTGGCTAACGCGACGGGCTGGAGTTTTGAGACTATGACCGCGGGTTCAATCCCGGCCGGGGGTATGGTTTTTTTTAGGCCTCAAGGTAACTCAGCCTGATCAACTAGGCTGTTACTGCCGGCCGCACGCAGTCCGACATACGAACGGCTGTCAGGTGCCTGTTGAAGGTTCCCTCTTGAAGACAACCAGGGGTTAATGGAACTGTATTATTATTATTATAATAAAAAAAGAAGCGCTAAACCACAAGGGCTCTACAGCGTTGTAATGGAACTGTAAGCCTATCGACTACACTAGTCATTAAGGCTGTACGTAACCTTATCACCACATACAAAGTAAAGATTAAGGTAAATAGCGTATATACGCTAAAATGCACCTCTCGGTGTATATATCTTTTAGTGCTAGATTATATTATATACCCACTAAGCCTTTCAATATTGCAGTCAGTTAAAAAACACTTGATGGTGGTTTTGGTCATATGATGACCTGATAAGTGAAAGTTTTTGTCCCTATAGCGGGGACGCTGCAAGAAGCAACCGCTGGTGTACTATAGGCCTATAGACGGTGGATTTTACTAACATGTGAATGTGGTAGCTGTTTGATCATATGACGGGGGCGTGGCACAGCGACCATTGACTCAGTGGTCTGAGTGCCTGGCATGCATGGTGCCACTGTTGCATGTAACTGCTGGGTATAATCTTGCACTGTATCTAACTTGAACATACATACTCAAGTACTTCCTGCACCACGGCGCCGTGTTATACTACACTATGTTGAGTGCTACCAGCACTGTTGAATGCTGCCAACATTATGTTGACTGCTACCAGCACTGTTGAATGCTGCCAACATTATGCTGAGTGCTACCAGCACTGTTGAATGCTGCCAACATTATGTTGACTGCTACCAGCACTGTTGAATGCTGCCAACATTATGTTGATGCTACCAGCACTGTTGAATGCTGCCAACATTATGTTGACTGCTACCAGCACTGTTGAATGCTGCCAACATTATGTTGAGTGCTACCAGCACTGTTGAATGCTGCCAACATTATGTTGACTGCTACCAGCACTGTTGAATGCTGCCAACATTATGTTGACTGCTACCAGCACTGTTGAATGCTGCCAACATTATGTTGAGTGCTACAAAAATTACGTTACCAGTACTGTATGTATTTGAGCTACTACATTCATGCTCAAGAAGTGCTACTAAACATTATCTTCAGTGCTACCAACACTGTTGAATGCTGACAACATTATGTTGAGTGCTACTAACATTATCTTGAGTGCTACTAACACTGTGGAATGCTGACAACATTATGTTGAGTGCTACCAACATTATCTTGAGTGCTACTAACACTGTGGAATGCTGACAACATTATGTTGAGTGCTACCAACATTATCTTGAGTGCTACTAACACTGTGGAATGCCGACAACATTATGTTGAGTGCTACTAACATTATCTTCAGTGCTACCAACACTGTTGAATGCTGACAACATTATGTTGAGTGCTACTAACATTATCTTCAGTGCTACCAACACTGTTGAATGCTGACAACATTATGTTGAGTGCTACTAACATTATCTTCAGTGCTACCAACACTGTTGAATGCTGACAACATTATGTTGAGTGCTACCAACATTATCTTGAGTGCTACTAACACTGTGAATGCTGACAACATTATGTTGAGTGCTACCAACATTATCTTGAGTGCTACTAACACTGTTGAATGCTGACAACATTATGTTAAGTGCTGCCAACATTATCTTGAGGGCTACTAACACTGTTGAATGCTGACAACATTATGTTAAGTGCTGCCAACATTATCTTGAGGGCTACTAACACTGTTGAATGCTGACAACATTATGTTGAGTGCTACCAACATTATCTTGAGTGCTACTAACACTGTTGAATGCTGACAACATTATGTTGAGTGCTACCAACATTATCTTGAGTGCTACTAACACTGTTGAATGCTGACAACATTATGTTGAGTGCTACCAACATTATCTTAAGTGCTACTAACACTTGAATGCTGACAACATTATGTTGAGTGCTACCAACATTATCTTAAGTGCTACTAACACTATGTTAATACTGACAACATTATGTTGAGTGCCACCAACATGCTGAGTACTATTAGCACTATGTTGAGTGCTGACAACATTGTGTTGAGTACTACCAAAATTACGTTAAGTGTTGCCAACACTACTGAGTGCTACTACCAGGGTTCCCCAGAGTGGTCAATAGCAACCCCTGAGGGTCAATAGTAATATCGAAAGGGTTGATAAATGGCTGGGGGTCAGGAAATATCTAGAGCAATGTAAATACTGTTGCTAAATACCCCAGGCTTTGTGCAGTGGTTGAGCCATTTTTACTTGCTTTCCCAAGTTCGTACACGGTTGAAACTGGTTTTAGCCATGCAGATGCAATACTGACAAGGGACGCTACACTGCAGTGATGACAAGGGACGTTACACTGCAGTGATGACAAGGGACGTTACACTGCAGTGATGACAAGGGACGTTATACTGCAGTGTTAACAAGGGACGCTAAACTGACGAGGGACACTACACTGCACAGTCTGGTGCTCTGGAATTACATTTAACACTGACGAAAGACACTGATATTCTTCGAGACCTAATGAAGGCTTCATGACCCGTAGCTCAATCGTTAGCCCACTCAGCTCAAACACTGAGGTCCAGGAGTCGATCCCCGGTACGGCTGGAAAACATTAGGACGTGTTTCCTTAATTAAGACACCTGCTGTGCAATGTTCACCAATCAGTGAAATGGGTACCTGGGCGTTAGTCGACTGGAGTGGGTGCATCCTGGGGACAAAATTGACCTAATTTGCCCGAAATGCTCTGCATAACAAGGGACTTTCTGTATAGTAGTATGTCGTTGATGTCAGCTAAGCCTGTATACCTTGTACATGTACTTGTAGAAATAAAGAATATTATTATGTGACTTACTGGCGCCATGTGCGTCATGACCGGGAAATGAAGCAATGTTGTGAGCAATTCTTGTATCCATGTACAACTCTTATTATGAATAATGTGACCAAATAAATGCCTTTTTTTTCACTGTCAATGACTAACATTATTATGATAATGGGAGAGCGCTAAACCCGTAGGATTATACAGCGCATGTGTGTGGGGGGTGGAAGGTATTTAGACTTAATTCAGGGAACCGGAGCACAGATCCAGTTCCCTAGATCGAGCCCCTCATTAGCGTCAAGGAACCTTCCTGGAGGGGACTCAATGACTAACAGTGACTGGTAATTCTGATAGCCCGTGATGAAGGACTCATGCTTATATTATTATTATAATCAAAAAGAAGCGCTAAGCCAACTCATGCTTATAACCTTAAATATTTAGTCGAAGTAGCCTTGATAAAGTTTCCATGATATTATGTTATTTGAATAAATTTGCTAAAAAAACAAGTTGATAAATATAAATATGGAACTGGTGCAACACTTGGGTATCTATTTTCTGAAAGATGAGTGCGAGGTAATTAGTCCCTCAGTCTGAAATCGATGTGTTCAGTCCATCAGTTTTGATGAAAGTGCAGCATATGGAGATGGAGCAGTTATTATACGTAATTATAATCATGGGGAGAGCTAAACCCGTAGGATTATACAGCGCACGTAGATCGGGGGTTGAAGGTATTCAGGCTCAATTCAGGGAACTGGAGCACAGATCCAATTCCCTTGATCAAGGGCCCCTCACCCTTGACGGGTTGAGGTGGAGCAGTGGTAGGTAGAATCACTATTGGAGAAGCCCACTAGTGGAAGTAGGTTGTCTATAAGTTAGACAAGCTATGAAAAATTCCTTGCATCAAAACCCCAAGATGTTGCTGTGATATTAGTGGTGCTAGGAGCATGATAGGTAAGTAATTTATTATTTATTATAATAAAAAGATAAGAGTCTAGCACCTAAAGGTATACAGTCAGTTGATAGACTGCAGCAGAACAGAATTTTATTAAATTTTAATTAGGATTAAGATAACCTAAGTTATAAGCACGTCTGAGTAGATGCGAAAAGTGATGAGCCAGTCAGACTTGAATTCATAGCACCCGGGCACAGATGCATTTCCTTAGTCAAGATAATAATAGAACTAAGCACTAAACCCACACGGGTTATATAGCACTGCAGGGTAGGATGCGTAAAAGATGGACTGTGCCAGTGCAGAGACTAGTGAAGTTACATCAGCCCCTCGCCACCAAGGAACCTCCTTTCGACTGGAGAAGCTGCAGAGCCGACAAAACATCTTGACAGTAAAGGCATCTAAATGTTGCAAATCTTTCATCTATTGGTCAGTATTATATACTATATTAAAATATTCCCTAGATTGTAATTATAATCAAAGTGCTAAACAGACAAGGGTCAAGCAGTGCTGTCCCTAGATTATAATAATGAAGCGATATTCCCTAGGGAGGCTTCTAACAAAATATCTTAACCACTACCAGTCTCCATTCCTCCTAGGATCTGTAGCTTCCAGGGAAGATCTTTCATAAAGTTGCCTCTCTCTTTTAAGAAAAGGGAAGTACTAAACCAGTTGGGGGTCATATATTTTAATCACAGGAAAACACTAAACCCAATGGGGTCATACAACCCATGGGAAATACAAGGCATTCTAGTTCAATTTATGTAAGGGAAGGGTAACTCCAGTGTATCAACAGAAATGGTAGCATCATCATAAGTGGTAGTGCCAGCAGCAAGTGGTAGTGCCAGCAGCAACAGTGGTAGTGTCAGCATCAGTGGTGGTAGTCAGCAGCATCGGTGGTTGTGTTAGCAGCAACAGAAGCATCAACGGTTATGTCAGCAGTGACAGAAGCATCAGTGGTAGTATCAGCAGCAACAGTGGTAGTGTCAGCAGTAACATTATAATCATAACCCAGTGCTAAACCCATAAGGGTTATACAGCACTGATGAGCAGTAACACTGGTAGTGCCAGTAGCAAGTGGTAGTGTCAGCAGCAACAGTGGTAGTGCCAGCAGCAACAGTGGTATCAGTATTATTATTATTATAATAAAAAAGAAGCGCTAAGCCACAAGGGCTATACAGCGGCATCAGTAGTAGTGGTGTGCCAAAGTATCGGTATCAACTATTTTTATGGTATCTGTATCAGCGAAAAAGTTGCCAATACTTTTTAAAATATTAATATTACATGCACTTAAAAAGAGTAAAATTAACAGTTGACCTCAGGGTTACTCATGTTCAACTTGCCAGCTTTCAAAATTCATTTGACTGCACATATTAGTATAGGTGTTCAGATGAATAGAATGGACAAGATACAACTGTTTAGCATGCTTGCTACATACACCTCAATGGATTATCCTTGATTGTATCTGGAGAAGAGTAATAATAGACATCATTGCAAACTGTAGGCTAATGGTGAGCCACTTGAGTCACTCCCCTCTAACCTGCAGTAAACTAGAGGCTCTTCAAGGATATGAACTGCCAAAGCAGAAGCTGAATCAGAATGTATCTGCCTGCTGGAACAGCACTATTTAATGTTAAATGGCATGTGGACAAAAAATGCCATTGCAATTTATTGCTTAGATATCATTCCATTCAGCTTCCATCATTCGATGGAAATCTTATTGCCAAGTATCCATTTTTTCTTTAAAACCTTTCACAAAACTGTGTCTCTTAGTAAATAAATTCTCTGTTCTCAGAAATACTGCCTGAAGTACAATATTTAAAACATTTCATCAACAAAGCTTTGAGTGATCTAACAATCTCAGGCTTAGCTGGAATACTATAGGCTCTCAAAGTGTGCATTAACTAGGTTTGAGAGTTTCACCATACTCTAACATGATATTTAGGACATATTGAGATACTGATATAAGAACAACTTCACTGCCAGTGCAGGAGATCAGTCATGTAAAACCTTGACAATATTGAGAATGAACTGAAAGAAATTTGGGAGAAAATTCAGCAGTTCAGGAACTCTGCTCAACTTGTTTGTGAGCAGCTTCAAGCAGTGAAAAAAAACCATACCACGGGCGGGATTTGAACCCGCGGTCAGTCTCAAAACTCCAGACTGTCGCGTTAGCTACTGGACCAGCTAGCCACAATAAGATTCGTCCAACTAGGTATATTTCTACACCTAGTTGGAG